TCCCTCCCTCCCTCTCTCTCTCTCTCTCTCTAAAAAAGCAATGGAAAAAATATCCTCGGGTGGGGATTAACAACAACAACAAAAAGAATTGAGATTGCTGGGTGGAAGTTTTAAGGGGAGATTTAGCTAAAAGTATGAAAGGAGCTACGTTAGTAGGTAATGAGATTTCATCCCGATACACCGGGAGCATCTAATCACGATGTTGTTGCAGCGGGATTCCGGCAGCGAGATAATTGTGAAATTATCTTCCAGATCATAGATGCTATAGTCTGAACATTTTTGCATAGGCCCCTGGGCCTTCAGTCGTGTTTTGCGTATTAGGCAACACAGTCTAGCCTGTTTATAAAACAAATGGTCCTTATTGATTAGGCTCCTTGACCGTGACGAGCAAGAAGCCTTCTAGTAGATTCCAAAGCTTTCTGCTTCACTTCTCAAAAAGATACCAGACATCCGAACGCCCCGATAAACGCCACGCTCGCCCGCGTTGGGTTTCCCCGCTTGCCTCAGCGCCGTCCTCTTACATGAGCTGCCGGGGAGACTGTCGCGGGGCCAGGTATTGACTGACACTGAACATCCTTTCCTCCACCAAGCGGAGGTGTTGAACCCGGACACTTCTGTTGAGAGGTGCGAGGGAAATGACCTGTAAAATGAATTCATCGCCAGCTCAGAGCCCCGGTGAGTTAGGCTCCTCAACCTCCCCTCCTCCGGGGTACCCATCTCCATTACCCCGGGACACGGAGCCAGGAAACCAGCCATGGAATGGGAAAAAGTATGACCGTGATTTAAAAAACTGTGTCATACTTGCCAGAAAACACCTGGAAACGATTTAATTCAAGGGGACGCATGTTACTTTCCAAAGCAAAGAAAGAACCTCCGAGCGATGGCTCCTGCGGTGCAAGACGTCGAGGCGACACAGCTGACGAACTTTCTTAGCAGAAGAAATTCATCCAGATCCTGGGAACCCCTCCGTGGGAAACACTGCCTCCAATTAGAGATAAAAATGCATCGGGCATTCGTGCCCCTCGTTTTGTGCTTCTTTTTAACGCTCCGTTGAGCGTCTCCCATCCATAACCCCTGACACCCCAAAACAGCATAAAGCAATTTGTAGTATTGAGCCCTCGCCACAGTAAATGCAGAAGAGCAACGCGAAGACTGGCTGGTTTTCAGCAGCAGCGTAGGAAGCGAGGGGCTGTCTCAGCTAATTCTTCGCCGAAGCCATCCAGGCTGAGAGCTGATCGGGAAAAACCCTCCTGCATCCTGCAGGTCCTGTGGCTGCTCCCTGGGGACGCCCTTCCCTTAAGCGACCTTGCAGTTCCCGCCTCAACTGTCAATGCCGGCTTCTGTTTAAAAGAAGCGAAATAAGCGACGCAGAGAAAGACAAGTGTCGCGTGATCTCACTTATACGTGGAATCTAATGAACAAAATAAACTGATGAACAGAATAGACCCAGAGACATGGAAGCAGGGAGCAGACGGAGGGTCTCAGAGGGAAGGGGAGTGGCTGGGGAGAGACTAACCTAAGGACATATAAGCACAAACGCACAGCCCATGGACACAGCAGTGTGGGGAAGGCCGGGAGGAGGCGGGGCGATGGGGTAAGAAGGGGAAATCTGCAGTACTTTCAACAATAAAGATAATTTTTTTTAAAAAGGGAAGAAAGAAAAAGAAATGGCTGTGGACAGGTTGGTCAGCAGCTCTGCTATACAGACGCAACAACTCTGGGACTGTGAGGGGCGTGTCACTTATTTCCAGTTCGGTGGCTTCCCGGGCCCAGCACTTCTGCCTCTGGGGCAGTTCCCGGGGAGCCGCTGGGGGCCCTTCCCATGCGCAGGGTGACTAAGAGCTTTGAAGATTCAACACCATTAGCTGGCATCCAGGGGCAACTGCCCTTTCCAGTTGTAAAACCACAGACACTGCATATGTATGGCTGCAATTACCTTTTCAATTCCATCAATTAAAAGCAGATGGCAACCTGTTCTTATGCGTTAGGTGGGTGACACACCCCACGATAAGGGATATAAATGCCCTAGTCCAAGAACTGGCTTTCAGACTCAGAAGCTTCTTATCCTGTCGGATCTGTGGACCCCTCCCGCAGCGGCTGCTCTGGAACCCTCTCCTCCTGCTCCCTGGGGGCTCCCTGCCCCACCCAGGCTCCTCCTGTGGCTCTTCCTACCCCAGCAGCCTGGTCTACAGCACTGAGCTCTGCTCCCGGCCCCTGCCCGCGGGGCTCCTCCCTCCGCAGCGGCCGCCAGGAGACCTGCTGGGAGCCCCCAGCTGCCAGACGTCCTGCTGTGGCCCGAGGACCCTCAGGGTCTGCAGGCCCTGCCTGGGGACTCGGCCTGGGTCTCTGGGCTCTGGGTACCCTGGTTTCCAATCAGTGGGTTGTGGTCCCAGTGCCTTTTCATCTCTAAGCTGTGGATCCAGTGTTTCCTGTCCAGCCTACTTCTCTGCCAGCAGCTGCCAGTCTGATTCTTGCCAACCGGCCTATGGAACTGGCTTGTGCTAATCTTAGGTTTGAACACAATGAAATGTCACATAATACCAACTATATCAAGATCCACACTATCTATTGATCTGTTGTCCTATTTTTAGCTCACAAATTTGACTTGTCCTGTTACCTCTTATGGATTCCAAATAATTTGAATTTCAATAATTCAAATTATTGAAAATGCATTCACTGAAGAGAGAGACCCACACTGCTCCTTGGAGTTCTGNTTCAAATTATTGAAAATGCATTCACTGAAGAGAGAGACCCACACTGCTCCTTGGAGTTCTGCAGACATACGATGTTGAAGCATATTTCCTCTTTAGTGCCTCTCCTGTTTATTTCCTCTGATGCATTTGCTTTACATTTCACAAAGTGGGAGAAGTTGTAAGCTTAAATAAAAATGTTATGTGACATTCACATATTTGCTTTCATATTATCTGCTTACTGTCTTCAAAACGACTTGTAAGTTATCTGGCTGGATATTTCTTTATCTTGTATTTATCGTTTTAAAATTTTTACTTTAAAAAGTAAAATTGTCCAATGTCTTTTCAGTTTGGAAGAAATTATTTTATCTTTTATGTTTGCTGCACCCATTAATAATTTCATATGAAAAATCTAGAATTGCATTTTTCAGACTATAAACAGACTAATAACTGTGGCCTTCTGTTCTGCAGGGAGTTAGAAACTTCATTATCTTTTATATGATATAATTACATATTGTAACGAATATTAAACTGACTACGTCACATAATTTTGGAAGAAAAAGGCTCATAAAATATCTGAGAAGTTGAAGGGAGGGTGTCTAGTGAGAAGTTAGACGTCAGTGCTTTAGATGGGGTGAGGGTCCCCGGGACCCCAGCTTAGGGCCGGATCAGAATCAACCTCTGGACGAAGCAGCTAACACTTTCCAGGACCCGTCAGCAAGCAGGCCCCACACTCCCCGTGTGATCAGCTCTACACGTCTGATGAAGCCCTAAACTTGCTCCTGTTTTTTTCAGTTGTTCAGTTCATAGCCCTTATTTGGGAGTAAAAACAACAAAAACAACTACTCAAAACCAATGCAGATATTCTTTTGTGTCGACTGAACACCCAGTGAGCCGATAACCCTGGGTCAGCAGTCGGGCCCCAAACGTACATGCACAAGTCGAGGACAACCTCAGCCTCACTAAGGGTGCCGACGACCTTGATTCTTACCCAAGGGCAACCCCATGTCTCACTGACTTTGCCTCAGCCTTCCGCCCCGCTTGGTGATTTTCTTAGATCCTTCACTTTTTATTTATAATGAATGAAAACTGAATGGACCTCACAAGGCTGGGTGAGGAGCCCTCCACTCTGCTTTTCCCACCGTTTTCACCTGGTGCCCTGGGAGATGCAGGCACGGTGACCAGGGCTTTCACACTCACCCGCGTGACATCAGAAAGCAGACAAGCCACATCCTGCCCTTTCTCTGCTCATTCCTTCTGAACCAAATCAAACCATCACCTTTCTCTCAAAAAGGGGAGGCAGAGGGACCCCTGAAAAACCACTTACACCTGGACACAGGCAGAAGGAGGGACACTCAAGGTTCAGACAGGTGGAGGTCCCCTGTGGTTCGCACCCAGCCAGGGCGGCCGAGGCTCCTCCCACTCCCTGCAGGACGCGGCCACGTGCACCCAGCCTCCTGCAGGTGGCGGCAGTGGGAAGCGGAGGACTGGGGTGCAGTCCCCACACTTTACAGTCTCCCAGGAGCTTCCCAGGTGAGATGTGAAACCCGCCCCACGGGTGGAGGGCGGGGCGGGCCTAGAGGGAAGTCCGACCACTTCAGATGGGAGGCGGCAGGTTTAATAGGCAGAGGAACTGACTTATGAGGCTTGTCTTGGGTGAGGGCAAAAGGAATCGTTTTCCCCACCCACCTGCCACATCTTAAAAGTGTAAAACTTGGGGATTAGCCATGTAGCCGATGCAGATGACGCCACCACATTAGTGTCTCAGGTCTGTCTTTGGGCAGCTTCTAGCCCCGGGAAGGCGAGCAGAGCCCACGTTCCAAGCACGGGGCTGGGGGATAAGTGCTTCTCCCCTTAATCAGATCTGGGGGTGGACAATTCCACCATCATTCTGTAATTCCTAAAAGGCCCTGAAGGGCAGACTCTCAACTGTCCACTTTAAAACCAACTGAAAAACATGACCTTTAATGGGATTTTCCTCTTTGACATAATTTCTATGGTTTTCCATACCTGCTTCCTGGAACCTTTTGCCAAATAAACTGTCCGCACCCAGGTTCTTGACCCCAGCTCTGCTTTGTGGGGGGTGGGGTGCAGGCTAAGACTGACGACTGTAAATGTTCAATGCTGCTCAGGTGTGTTGCTCTTAGTTTGTTTCGGGTTGAGCCTTGGAGAAGCTTCAGGAGGTTGCTCTCCGGGTCTTTGCTCAGTTACCCCCCACCTGAGATCACTGTGACTCCCCTTCCACAGGCGTGCAGATGAGGCTGGGGGTACCTCGCCTGTGGAGGGAGGCAATTGGGGCGTTTACATGAACCAGCCAAGAGCTAAGCGTCTGTCCTTGGAGCTGCTTGGCTGAAAAGTCTGTCCAGATACTGGACTTTTAATCAAGTTTTTGTCTCTGTGTAAACTCACCTTATACGTTATTTCACTTGTCCTGTTGTCTGCCTTTCTAATTATGCACCAGTGTCGTGTTTTCCCTCACCAGCAGACATGCACGTCTCCCATTCGCAGGCAATAGTCACCGACGCTGAGAAATGCAGAGCGTGGACCTCAGAAAATGACTCCTACGAAGGGGCAGTCCGTGGCAAGAGAAAGCCACTCAAATCTGTGGAGCTGCACTGTGCTCAAACCCAGTTCCCAGGTCAATTCGATCCTTACTTACGCCCTCCGGATCATCGCATATGAACACCAGAGTTTGCAAAGAGAGAGAAACTAGTAATAGTAATAAGATGAACCATGCATTTGGAAGCCAGATTACGTAAATTTATTAAGAGTAAAACTTATTTTCAATTGTCCCTCGATGGAAACGCAATAGCACGTATTTTAACAATAGTAGAGATTTTAGGACTTATTAATTTTGGGGTCTGTCAAATGTTGGCGATGCAAGAAATGGATGGTTTAAGGATAAACTAACTGTGGTAACTGGTGACAACAGCAATGATGGCTGTGCTGAGCGGATGTTGACCTCAATACTGAAGAGAATCTGGACCCTTTACAAACAGATCAATAGAAGCCAGATCCACAGGTTGGTCTGTAACAGGATGACTGGCAGCTCCTGGAGGCCAAGGAAGTCGGGCGGCAGAATCCGGATCCGTAGCTCAGGGAAGGGAAGCCACAGCCTCCATAACCCTGGGGTCTGAAGCCATAGGACCCACAGCCCAGGGAGTAGGAGCTTTGGGACCCACAGCCCAGGGAGTAGGAGCTTCGGGACCCACAGCCCAGGGAGTAGGAGCTTCGGGGCCCACAGTCCAAGGAGTAGCAGCTGCTGCTGGACCCAGAGCCCAGAGCCCCAGGACGAGTTGTCCAGCAGGGACTGCAGAGCGTGGGGGTCCTCGGGCCACAGCAGGACATCTGGTAGCTGCGGGGCTCCCAGCAAGTCTCCTGGCAGCCACTGCGGAGAGAGGAGCCCTGCGGGCAGGGGCTGGGGGAGCGGAGCTCAGTGCTGTAGACCAGGTTGCTGGGGTAGGAAGAGCCACAGGAGGAGCCAGGGTGGCACAGGGAGCCCCCGAGGGAGCAGGAGGAGAAGTTTCCAGAGCAGCAGCCGTGGGACATGTTGACGGGAGACGTGAGCACAGCGAGTGACAGTGAGGAGAGTCCGAGTCTGAGTGTCACCCCGGGACCATGGGGTTTTTATACTCCCAGCAGCGGGCGTGGCCCACGAGGGGATCCTGGTCGGTACATGGGATTTCCCCTTTCACGTATGTGTAACTCAACAATCTTCTCTGTAATTGTGAATAGTTTTCCACATATTGCGTTTATGAGGCTATAATTCTGTTGTGACAACCAAAGCCCACGAACGACTATGTCAGAAATGCTGTGACTGTTCGACATTAATGCGCATCCATCGTGACCAGGAAGGCGTCATGGCCAAGGAAACTGTCCTCTGGCTAAGGCTCCGTGGCTGCTTCCCATGGACCTACGTCTGGTTTGCTGGCTGGTAATTTCTTCCGAGACGCTGGGGTAGAAACGGGGTAACGCCAACTTGCTCCTGGTGCAATAGCTCAGAGGAGCAATTTCCCATGGGACGGGAGCCTTCCCGAGAAGGTCCACCTTCTCACCATTTATGCCCATTCTCCAAAATCAGGTGGAGGTCACCTGTCAGGGCAGCGATAGAAGCTGATACGTGAAGCAGGTGAAGTGTCTTATTGATACGATACTGTGGGCACAGTTCCTTCAAAATTTTTCTCTGTTTCCACAGATGCCTCTTTAAAATGATCGTGATGTTGGCAAAGGGCACAGAATTTCAGTGATGCAGAAGGAATAAACTTTGGAGATCTAATGGGAAGTATGGAAACTAGTCGCTAACACTGCTAATGCTAGCAGCATTTTTAGACTTGGAATTTGCTAAGCGAGGTGGTCTTCGGTGTTCTCACCACGCGCACACACACACATTGTACCTGTGAGAAATGATGGACGTGCAAATCAGTGGGACTTCGGTAATCTTTCCACAATCGGGTCCTTCTCGGACAAGCTGTGCTCTTCCCTTTGCCTCTAAACGCAAGAGCTTCCTCTACATTAAGTTAATATAAATTTAAGAGGGATTTGTAAACTCCCTAACCTTGAGCTAAATTAAGCCCAGAGATTATATTGTTTGTTCTATATAACAAACCTCCACTGTTTTTTGGCAACTGGGCTGCTTATCAACAAGTAGAAATTGACATTTTTCAAGTACAAATTCCGACTCTGGGCCGTGCACCCAGCGGCGCCTGCTGTTTTGACCGCTCAGTGCCGTCACCGGGCCATGAACAAAATGGTTGTGATAGTTTTTCTAGAAGAATCTCATCCATAGTTGAAAGTTGTCACTTTTGACAGCCACCTACTGCTCTTCTCCAAATTACCAGTGACCTTGTCAGGGACATGCTGGGATCGTGATTTTACTGATCCTCTGGGGCAGACACTCAAGAAACAAAAGCCAACACTTCTCATGGAAAGATTCCCTTCAATCACTATGGATTAATTACCAGCCACAAAATAGGTGCTTTATCATAGCCAACTTAGGTGAGAAGTCTCTGAATTCTGCATTTAAAAAAATACTTTCATTGGACAACATGGTCATGGCTGCTATTTTTTTTTTTTTTATTAATCCTCCCCCAAGGATATTTTTCCCATTGGTTTTTAGAGAGAGTGGAAGGGGGAGAGAGAGACAGAGAGAGAAACATCGATGTGAGAGACGCATCAATTGGTTGCCTCCAGCACATGCCCCGACCAGGGCCCAGGATTGAACCTGCAACCCAGGTACATGCCCTTGACCGGGAATCGAACCCAGGACCCTTCAGTGTTCAGGGTCGACACTAACCACTGAGCCGCTCTGGCCAGGACACGGATATTTTTAAGTAGGCTACACGCAATGATACCAAAGCACATTTCTCTTGGTAACATATTCCTGGTATTTTTCCCTAGGGATCTTTCTATTAAAATTTTATAAGGTAGAGAAACATTAAAGCTTTCTCAATAAACCTTTTATGAGGCATCCAAGTATGTTTTCCTATGAACTATCCAGTAACAATGGCTGAGAACATGGACTCGAACGCAAGCTGTTTATTTGGGAGGTGATCCCAATACATCGCTATGGGGGTGGGAACATGTCCCAGGGCGTGAAGGAAGGCAGGGCGGGAGGCGGGACCAAGCTGGTTCCGCTCTAGGACTGGAGCTCGGGTCTAGCAGAGAATTCCCTGCACTGTGGAGTGACAGGGCCTCAGGTGTCCCCAGTAACCCGCATTCAGAGTGTGCAGGTCATTACGTTCCCTGGGACACAGGCAGGGTGCGGACAGAATGGGGCATCACTCAGAAAAGCAAAAATACAACGAATGTGGAAAGACTACCATAAGGTTTGGGATGAAGAGGTGAGGAAAACAAAATGGTATGAAGGCTCCTGGTGAGTTTGGGCCACATTGCAGCACAGGATGAGGCACGTGTATGTGGTATGCGAATGGGAGGCAGGGTTAGAAAGAAGACAGAGCACCCGCAATGGCAGCATTGGAATTTTATGAATTTTGGTGTCGTCTGCTGCTATTTAAACAACTATAACAGGCATTTAAACGGTCAGTTTACTGCAGCAAATCATTTATTTGAATCTCTCCTATGGATTTGGAAAATAAATCAATCTTTCAAAATTACATAAAACTAGCAAGTTAACATTGCTTAAAATATTGACCCATTCCTCCCAACAAGAACAGAAAAGCTGGAGAAAATATAAACAAACAATAAAACAAACCAATAATCTCTATTTAAAAACTTCAGAGAAATAACAAAGAATTCCAGAGTCACCGAGACACTATATGGGCCAGAACTGGAGTTCAAAGAAAGGAGCCTGCATCGGGAGTCACTATTCCCGTAACGTTAGACACTGGTTTTTAAAGTAGGGACTGATAGAGTTCTCATAACAGCAGAGGGCTAGAGAAACAAAGTTGGAATTTAGGGCCGGCCAGAGACCTGGGACCATGGAAACTATGCCAGACCTCGGAGAGCCGATTCCTAAAAGTAAAATTGAATCACCGATAGACTGTTTCTTCTAAGGGGGGATTTCCAGGTTTGAAAGATAATTAATTGAGATAATTAATTAATTTGACTGAATTAAAATGATCTAGGATGCTAGTGTCCTTACTGTAGCCACCAGAAAAATAAATCAGTCCTCTCTGGAGGAAGGTGAAAGCACCAGGACATTTCATTTTTTATATACACATGTGTATATTTCTCTCTCCAAATACAGCAGGGGTATGAGAAAATAAGACTGAAATAAAAGAGAACACCAGAAAATAGAATCTGAGATACACAATCCGCACAACGGACATGTCAAAATCAGACGTTAACGCACCTATGTGAAGGCTTCAACAACAGGAAATAGGAAGGTATTATTATCAAGTAATAATCGTGTTTAAAGAATTAAAGGTAAAGTTGAGAATTTTGGCAGAAAACTGAAGACCAATGACAGAACCTAATTGAAATTTTAGAAATTTATGATATCCTAACTGACTTGGAAACCTTCCTTGATGTGTTTCATTAGGAGGTTAAACATAGCTAAACAAACAATTAGTGAATTGGAAGATGAGGAAGATGGAAATTCCCAAACTAAAACAGAGATAGAATTATTGAACGTAGAAAAAAAGAGTAAGAGAGGCACAATTGCCATAGGTCATGGGTGCAATTCACTCAAAGTTAGAATCTCAGGAAAAGAGAGATGAGAGCGTGACAGAAACTATTTGCACACACTGTGTTTGAGAGTTTGCTGAAACGATGCAACATCATCTCCCATGTGAAACGGTGATGAGGACAATGCATGGAGCTGGCCTGGGGTTGAGGTGCCTGAAGGGTGGACTTTAGCAGACGCTACTCAGAGATGGTCTGCAACGTGTGCACCAAAGCTACACTCCCAGCTCGTTGCTTTTATCATTAGAGAACCCAAATCATTTTCTTTGATGACCTGGTGGGCATGCCCAAGACAGAACGCCCAGTCTGAATTCTTCATTATCCCTGGACCAATTCTTTTCATTCCAAGAAATTAAAAACAAGCTTCAATGTCCCCAGATTTCATGCATTTTTATCTCTCCAGAATCTTCCCCTTGTATTATAAAATTTAATCTTGCTTTGTTTCTTAAAGACAAGGTGTAATGACTGCCTCCCACCTAAGCAAACCTCCCACATGCGAAGCACAGAAGCATTTCTGGCTACCCTGTGACTCACAGATTAAGGAACGACTGCAAATTCCAAACAGGACAAATACAAATAAAAAGGTGACTCGGGTGTTTGCACTAAGACTGACAATCTATAGAGAGAAATACACAAACCCACAAGTGTAACTAGAGGTTTAACACTTACTTCAGATAGAAACAGATGACAAACGAAACATAAGGGCGCAGAAAACCTTCCCCGTGTGAAGAGCAATTCTGACTTGATAAACAGGCCCAACACATTGCAGTCTAAACCTTCAGGCCACCCACTCTTTTCAAGAGCCGTAGAACATTCACCAAAACAGGTCACAGGCTGACCACAGTGGTTTAAACTAGAAAGTAATAAAGTAAAAGTAAATTATATATTTTAAAAAAAGCAATAGCAACCGGAACAGCAGAGTAAACTAGTAAATCCTCATATATTTGGAAATCAGGTGCTATGATTCCAAATAACCCACAGTCCAGGGAGAAAGCACAAGGACACATAGAGCACCCAAACTAACGTATGCTTACCGGGAAAGTTACACCTTAAATACAAACATTTTAGAAGAACGGCCGGAAGTCATTGACTTAATATGCCTATTAAGATGTGAAAATAGGAAAGCGCAGTAACTACAAATTACACAAAAGACTGAAATAACAGAAGAGCAGAATTTACTGTTTAAAAAAGCAAATGGAAACTGGATAAAGCCAGATGGATTTCTTCGTGACAGGTGGGCAGTTTCTAGAAGAGGCACAGGTGGGGTGGCAAACGCCACCCAGCACTCGACGTGTTAACACAGGTCATTGTGAAGCAGCCACCAAGACAGAACTCAGGGTACGAGGGTTTTATTTGGGACATGCCTGTGACAGAGGGAGCTGGGGAAGGGGGTGGAGAAGGCAAGG